CAGACTTTCTTACACTTACAGTACCGATACCTATCACGTAAAAAGCAGAAACTTTAGTCACTGCAGCAAAGGACGATCCGCTAATCACCAATCAGCCCATCTTTATCTTTTGACTTTAACGATACAATTCGCCAAACCGATGTCATGAAAAGTACAGGAATGTAGCTGCAAAGGCGTTAGCCTTTTGGAATCCCAAAAACGTTCGTTGACGAGACTCGAGTAACGGAGATTTACAGAATGTCCCATCCTTCTAGTCAGATTTGCTCAGTGAATGACAAAGTGACAGAAAATTCAGAGGGAACGAGGAATAATATCTCCCATCCGTTTTAATTGTCTGAAATTTTCTTTGCCGTACCGTCTACAGCACGAGCAGAGAATGCCCACTGCCCATGACACAACAAGTGGAGGATCTGGCAGAACAAGATTAATGGATGAAGGCAAGGAATAGAAAAAATATCCTTCGCAATTTGAATGATTAAGTCCTGGAAATCTATGGCATTTGTAACAATTGACAGCCCAAGCGATGAGACTTTCTGCGCGGCAGTAGGTTATTGACTCCCGCTACATTTCTTGATTGGAAGCAAATGTAGTAACGAGGGACGTTACCGAACCACGCGAAACACAGCATTCCTACAATGAGGCATCATGAACTGAGAGATGACATGAACGCCACGTTTGTTTTGGATGCAAATCAAATAATGATGACACATTAGGCAAAAAACATAAAAACAAAAACAAACAATAAACAGCTAAAAACACTTATGTTAGCTTCTGGTCAGAAAGCACACGGCACCACCGAAAAGTCTTTCGCCATGTCTTTCTGAGAGTAAACAGGAATAATCACTCTCAAATACTTCATAACTACATACAAAACAAACTACAAAAATTGCAATATTTGGCAGCCTCGATCCAACGCTGGATTTTGCATCTTCGAAAACTTGTAACCTGCTCTATTCTCTCCGTGTCCGCTCAAGCACGGAACCAACCAACTTAACAATTTCGTATTTCCACCGCTTCTGTGGCTTATTTCATGATCACCTCAAGCACCAATAAACTCCACTGCGAATCCAAACGGTTGGCGAAAGAGCGAAATTTAAAAAAAAAGAAACTGTAGTACATATTCAGGTGCAACAGGCACAATAATGTTTGCTAGTTTTTACCGTACTCTCGGGTTATTTTAAAATTTTAATTTTGAAAGAGCAAAGCAATCATTGTGTTATTTAAAGACAGGGCATTTTTGTAAGTCAGAATCTGAAAATACTCTAGCAAGGAGGCATGACGGCGGTCATAAAGCAAATTCACGGCAAAACGGGGCAAACTTCGGATACTCGGCTAAAACAAAAGAAATGAATATTCGTAATCGTCGTACCTTTCCCCAAAAGTAACGACGATAGCACTTGGCCGTTTTGTCGCTTTCCAGCTTGTAGCGTTGGCAGCTGCTGTCAGCGTTGGGTTCTTGCGCCGGCGATCCCTGGTGGTTCAGCGAAAACTCTTCGACCCAGTAGCCACCGTTCGGAGGCACCACGACCATCGGAAAGGGTGCCCCGCGTGCTAACACCTGCGAAGAACGGTCTTCCATAGCACCGGTGACGACGGCCAGACGACGCAACAACGCTACCTCTTTAACGCTACCGTTTTGGCTGAAGTGGTCGTGGTTTTCATCGTCGTCATCACAGTCATAATCTTCATAGGTGGACGCAGCGGCGGAAGGCAGACCCTAAACAGGTACTCGTCAAGACGATGGATAAGCAGAATCGTTGGGGGACCCTACGGCAGGGTCAGAGGCAACTGGAGAAGAGCCCTGACACAGCGCACTTGTTGCGCTACGTCGCATGCCCCGAGAGAGCAGTCTGAGATAGCCTTGCGAGAGACTTCGATTGCGTAGGGGGACAGCGGTTTCCGTTGACTTCGACCTCGATCTGGACCTCGACGAGGGTGGCAACAGTTTGGTAGTCCAGAAGTTCATGCTGAGAACCCAGGGCATTTGAAACCGGCGTCGTCGTCGTCGTCACACCGCAAACGTAGCCATGTGACGTACGTGCGTGTGCGTGTGCGTGCGACAGGTCTCCTCGACAACGGCGACACGAAGATGACAATCGATCGTGGCTTACACACGGCGATTAAAGAGGAAAAGAGCCACATGAACGATCAACGATCAATGGCCGTCGGCACGGCATTAGCGCCACACAGCCAATAGGATTCGAGCGCAGCCACAAACCAGCCCAGCCCAGCTCAGTTCAGCTCAAGCACAAAGTCACCGTAACCGTCTCCTCCTGAACCACTGGACATAGAAGTTCCGATCGATAGTGCAGAGAAAAAACCTCTTCGGCTCCTCAGCAACGATTCTAATCACAAAAGTACACGTTGTCCCGCTTCGTCATGCCACACCGGAAACTGACAGAAAGTAATTAATTTCCGATTCATTATCATTAATGGTTAGAACACGCAAAGCAGTCCGGTCGGTCCGTCGGCTGACTGATCACATGACGACGACATTCAATGCGAACACTCAATGAACTTTTCTCACCAGTGGCTGAAGACTTGTTTCTCGACAAAGACAATGAATGGGCTTCGAAAAGCGCATTAAATTTTTCTCTTATAATTAGCGAAGTTCAAAATATGAAAATCGAACACATTCTACGTTTTACCATAACAGGAAATACGCACTGAAGACATCCATCGTAAGACTATACGGAAACCGTTTCGTCCCCGGGTTACCTCCAGCTACTTCCGTCACCATTTACATGCAATAAACCCGGAGACAT